GGGAGAGGGAGAGGGAGAGGGAGAGGGAGAGAGAGACCCAGCAGCTGTGGGATTTTCTTGAGTGTACAAACCAAATAATAACATTCTTCCAACTTACACAGGTTGATTACTGTATCTTTTGACATGACTTTGTGCTTGTAAGATTTTATGATCTCCTACCCCCACCATTCCCAGCTTAGTGATATATCTAATTATTTAATCAAGAACTGTTAGGTGCTACTCAGATCTTGCAGATGTGACTAGATCTCAAACCAGTTGAAATGTGATAAAAGCATTCCCAACCCTTCTCTCCTAAATCCTTTGCTACTTTTCTTTCTCCTATTCTTTTAATTAGATGATCTAATTTGTTGATGTTCGCCCTTGTTTTCATAGTTTGTTTTCAAATGGAAAGTACATATTTACTTTCTTTGTTTCTATATATAATTTATGAAAATTCATTTTGAAATGAAATTTTTTTTTTACTGTTTAAAAGACTGTACTTAACATTTATGTACTCAACCAGGAAGCAGATCTGGTAACTCTTTCAATAAAGCTGCAGAACAGAAAACTCAACTGAAACTCACAGTTGGGGCTGAAGAGGGCTCAGAGGTAAGAACGCACACTGCTCTTGCAGAGGACCCAAGTTGGGTTTCCAGCACTCACACCTGGCACAGCTCTAGAGAACCTGATGATCTTTGGCTTCCACAGGTATCTACACCCCGAATGAATAACCTGTCTCTGACAGACATATAAAAACAAAACAAAAAAAACCCATAAAAATAAAAACAACAAAACCAAAAACCAAACTGCCCAAAACCGCAGTAACCTTTTTATATAATGAACTCACTGAAAAAGAAATTTAGAAAAAATAGATCCCCATTTCCAAAGCTTCAAACAACAAAGACAAAACAAAAAACAAACCAAGGAGCTGGAAAACCCCCTTCAACAAAAGCTTTAAAATAATAAAATTGAGGAAGATACCCCCAAGCATGTTCAACTTGTTAATACATCATTGAAGTGTTCACTTCAGTACCAGACAACTGAGTGACAAAAACAAACTGCAAAATCATTTTGTATTTATGTAAGTTCGTGATTCCGAGTTGGACCATAGTTCTTCTTTGGTCCATGTGGTTCACAGGCTGCAGTTTGGGCATGCCTGCAATGATGACTTTACATGCTCATTGAACAGTAAGTAATATTATGAGCAAAGCTATACTACCAAAAGTAACCTGTAAATTCAATGCACTCCTCCCCAAAATTTCAATTGACCCTCTTTTTTTTGTTTTTTGTTTTTTTTTGGAAACAGGGTTTCTCTGTGTAGTCCTGGCTGTCCTGGAACTCACTCTGTAGACCAGGCTGGCCTTGAACTCAGAAATCCGCCTGCCTCTGCCTCCCAAGTGCTGGGATTAAAGGCGTGCGCCACCACCGCCCGGCCAATTGATCCTCTTTATGAATCTAGAAAAAAAAATTCTAAAGTTTATATGGATGCAAAGTGATGGATAGCCATAGCAGTCCTAAGACTGCCAGAGGTATTGTATGGCCTCAAATTATATTCGAGAGCCACAGTGTCAAACACAGCAGAATACTGGCCCCAAAACAGATATACAGATCAATGGAGTAGAATGAGAAGTCAAACAAACTTAACAGCTATGGCCGCCTAGTTTTTTGTCGAGTGTACACGGGGACAGGGGAAACCTGTTTAACAAATGGTGCTGGCAAAACTGTGCACTCATCTACAGAAGAATCAAGTTAGAGCAATATATCTCAATTTGAACACAACAAATTCAAGGTGGACCAACGACCTTAATTTAAAACATGAAATGTTCAGACGGCTAGAAAAAAAAGCATAGGGATGACATTTGGAAATGTAGGTACAGACATGTTCTGAATAGATTCCAACAGAAAGCAGCCGCAAGAACTAACATAGAGCATTGTGTGAAATTTAAAAGTTCCTTCAAAGCAAAAGAAGCTTCAGTAGGGTGAGGAGATGCCCTACACAATGGACGACTTTTGACAGACAAGGAGCTAATATATAAAGAACTGTGAAACTACACACACACACACACACACACACACACACACACATTGGACAACCAATAAACGTGCTAATGAATTGAACAGTTTTTAAAAGAAGCACTGCCAAAAAGTGTTTTTAGGAGTTTCACATCTTTGGCCAGCAGAAAAATGCAAATCAAAACTACTTGGTGATTAAGTCTCATCCCAGCCAAAATGGCTATCAAAATAACAGATGCCAAGATAAAGGTGGAACACACCTTTAATCCCAGCACATGGAAAGCCCAAATGTCCTTGAGTTCAAGTTCAGCATGGTCTACAAAGAGTTCTAGGGCTACACTGAGACCATCTCAAAAAAACAAAAAACAACCAGATGCCAACCAATGCTGGAGAAAAACATGGGAAATAGATTATTCATGGGAGTGTACACTCCTGTAGTCACAGCCACTAATATGTCAGTGTAAAGTTCTCAAAAACAAAACCCCCTAAAGCAAAAATAGATCTACCATATGAGCCAGCTATACCATTTGTGGGCATGTGTCCAGAAGACTCTATATCCTATTAGAGATACGTGGACATCCATGTTTACTCCTGCTTGCCTCAATGTCTGTCAACAGATAAAGAAATTGTAGTATATAAACATCAAATTTTATTCCATCAAAAAGAAAAATGAAGTTGTAGGAAAACAGTGTAAAGTAACTCAAGTTCAGAAAAACATCAAACTTTCTCTCTTAAAAGATATGCCTTTTTTGTTTGTTTGTTTGTTTGTTTGTTTTTTCGAGACAGGGTTTCTCTTTATAGCCCTGGCTGTCCTGGAACTCACTCTGTAGAGCAGGCTGGCCTCGAACTCAGAAATCCGCCTGCCTCTGTCTCCCAAATGCTGGGATTAAAGGCATGCACCACCACTGCCTGGCAAAGATATGCTTCTAACATATATATATATATGTTTATTAGGGGTGAGGCATAGACATGTGTCATGAACTAGACAGGGGTCTGTGATGGTGTTGTCTACTTGAAAACATCTATAGTCACTTGGGAGATGGGCTTCTGGGCACATCTGTGAGGGATTATTTTGATCCTCATTGAGGGGTTGGAGGTCTTGCCACCGTGGGTGGAACCATTCCTTGGGCTGGAATCCTGGACTACATAAAAAGGTGAGAGCTAGCAAGCTGGCTTATCAGGTATAGGTACTTGCTTCCAAACCTGTTGATCTGAGTTTGATCCCCAGAAACCATACAGTGAAGAGGGGGCCAACCCTTTAAGTTGTTCACTGACCATCACATAGTGACACAAAGGTGTTTACAAACATACACAAATAAAGGTTCGGTTCTAAAAGGTTAGCTGAGAGTACACAAGCATCCTTGCTTCCTGCTTGACAGGGGTGCAGGCGACCAGCTCCCTCAAGCCCTTGCTGCTCTGACTTCCACATGGTGGACTACAGCCTCAACAGTGGGCTCAGTAGACCTTTCCTGACCTAAGCTGCTTTTGTCACAGTATTTCATCACAGCAGGAAAATAAACTAAGACAAGGTCTCAAGAGGCAGAAAAGGTGTAAGGGAGGTGAAGAGGCTGAAAGAAAGCGATATGCATGTAGTCTGTGGACAGAAAAGCATCAGGAAAGCCTGGGCAGGCAGATATCGGTGGGGATCAACCGAAGTATGCTAACTAAACATAAAAATCTAGCCGGGCGGTGGTGGCGCACGCCTTTAATCCCAGCACTTGGGAGGCAGAGGCAGGTGGATTTCTGAGTTCGAGGCCAGCCTGGTCTACAGAGTGAGTTCCAGGACAGCCAGGGCTACACAGAGAAACCCTGTCTCAAAAAACCAAAAAAAAAAAAAAAAAAAAAAAAAAAATCTTAAAAAGTTGTCACTCTGAGGTAGATACTATTTATCATTTCTTGGTTTTCCTCTCGTGGACATCAACTATCTTTTCTGAATTTTGGATGGGATTTAATGTCAAAAATACAGAAACGTAGACAAAATTATTCAGTAACAAAGCTAGTATTCTGAATCCAATACAAAAAGTAGTCACTGATACATAGCTCAAACATAAACAGTGTGCTTTATTAAAAACAAAACTGTAACACAATAACTTAGTAATGACACATCAAATAACAAGATACAGACAAAATTAATGAAGAGGGATTGTTGCAGCTTGCACTAGTGATCTCCTTTCAACAGGAAAAGCTGCTAGTCTAGTGGTTCTGGCCCCATCTGCAAAATACAGGAATACAGAATCGGTACAAAAAAAAAAAACAAAAAACAAAACAAAACAAAACAAAAAACAAAAAACCCTATGTGTAAAGCCACCTTCAAATAATTGAATGAGCTCTCTCTAGGACCAGGGCTCCAGCAGAGATGGTTAAAGTGCTATCAGTGTTGAGAACTACAGGTCTAAAGTAATCAATACTATAAAAAATGTCCTCAAAACAAAATCAGTAAGCTGACCAGATCATTTCTTTTGTCTCAGAAAAAGGGAAGAGGGGCAGGTATCTGTTTCCTACTGTTCTTTATCTATCCATTGTTTGGCTATATTCATTGCCTATACTGTTTTAATAAACAGCAAATAGTGAACGTTAAAACAAGCTACCCAAACAGAAATCCTCACTAGTTTAAATTACACTCTTTTAAAACAAGGTTAGCTTTCAGAAACAATCTCACATTTTCATTTTGCATAGATACTCAAGTCTATTTGTTCAACCAAGGGGAGCCAACAAGATGTACAAGAAAGTATTTATTAGCATCAGCTGTATAAATGTATCCATTCCATGCACCACAAATAAGTTTGTGGTGCAAAGGAACATTTGACAGAGCAAGTTCGGAAGACCTGAGTGCTTCCTCTAAAACTGTCAAAACTTCCTTTTCCAAGATAAGCGTCTTCAAAGTCAAGAGCATGAACAAAACTTTTTTCATTAAAAATGCAGACACAAAGTATTTTGTCTGCAGCTGTACCACATCCTTGACAACTCTCCATTAGGAGATTCAGTAGCAATAAGTTATTTATCCCAAAACTCTTCCTCATTTTTCAGGTTTGAAAAAAGTATTATGTCAAGTACGGAAAAGAACTTTTCCTTTAGGTCTCCTCAAATTCAGTAAATCTCACTTCTTCAGATCCTTCTGTCAAGATTCCATGTCAATTTCAACTCCTTCACTCTTGTCCTCCAGTGTTTCTGTCAGGCTGTTTGCGCTTACATCTTCAAGAGCTGCCAGATCAACAGGGGGTAAAGGGTTCCTCCAATACTGGAATGTATTATACTGCCAAAAGTCTTCATTCTGCTTTAGGGAAGAAGAGAAAAGTATCACTGGCTTAGAAAACAACACTCCCTCAACACACACACACGGAAACTGCTTTGTTTCAATGCAGCAGGCTAACATACCTAGTCAGAGTACTCAGAAGGCTGAGTGGAGGAGTTGGAAGTTTAAAGTCAGGCTGAGCTACTCTGTCTCAAAAACAAATGGATAACTACACATTTTCGCAGTTACAGTGATTTACTTAGGGGTGGCACATACCATGACAGAAATCAGAGGACAACTTTGAGAAGTATTCCTTCTACTATGTGAGTTCTGGGGACTGACCTCAAGTCCTCAGGCTTGGCAGCAAAGTCCTTTCTTGCCAGTGCAATAACTACTTTTTAAACTCCTTGTTTGGAAAATAAACTCAAATAAAATTTACAGTCTTTCATTTTTCAACAAATAGTTTTGACTTTGGAGAATGCACTTTACATGCCTAAACAAATCTGTAGACTTGTATTTACTAACAATCTAATTTTAAAAGAATTTCCTGCAATAATATCTTTTAAAAAATGTATTTGTTTTTTAATGTGTCTGGGTGTTTTGCTTGTACTATGTGCATGCAGTGCCTGAGGAATCCAGAAGAGGGCATCAGATCCCCTGAGTCTGGAGTTTCTAACAGACTGCTCTTTAGCCATCATGTGGGTTTGGGAACTGCACCCTGGTCCCCCTGGAAAAGCAGCCAGTGTTTCAATGAGAAGTATGAGATTCAAAACATATATACACCTTTATAACCTATTTTTTCACTGATGTTTAGGACTGAGATTAACATAGAAGTCAAAATATTTCATGATCTTCAGTAAAGTTTAGGAACGTAAACATGATACAGTGAAAAACAATGAATTGATAATTGGTAGGACTGACAAACTGGTCTACCAAACATTAAGCAGTTTACCTTAAATGATTACAAAATTACTTTAAGTAGTGATGTTAAAATTGGCACAACATCCTCAAAATACTCCATACAAAGAGAACTGCCCTGGAGCCCCACACAGGCTGATGGGTGCTAATGCTCAACCTGAGCACTCTGCTCAGGTCAAAGCCTTCCTACACTGCCGGTAAGTTTACATTTGCCACCATAACAGTGTTCACCAGAAACGACAGTCATGTGGACATACTGCTCTAGCGATAAAAAAGAAACAAAGCCAAGTGAAATTAACTTCAATCTTACTTGTCCCAATACAGACAAAATACTGTTTCAACATTTCAACACTTAATGGTATGATGTATCCTTTTGAGAATGAAGAGTGTATTTTACATTTCTAGCACTATTCAAAAGTGGCTACATGTCACCCTCAGGGGCCACAAGACAGTCATGTTGCATGCAGCAACCCTGCCATCAGCCTTTTCCTGCTTTAAGGCAGAAAGAATTAGTCTTTTGGGAATTTAATATTGGGGGAGGGAGGGAGGGAGGGAGGGAGGTTGGGAGAAAACTGTAGAAAAATGGGTAAAGCTTGAATACCGCATTAGAAGCATGGCTTCTGCTGGCTGCTACTAACACAAGGTAAGAGATGTCAGGTCTAGCCAACTGTGTCTAGCAAGGAGAAGCTGGTGTGATGTCCGCTTACTGAAAGCTTCCTTTCGCCAGTATGTCACTCTCTCTCATCAAATATGCACATATACCTAGACTGGCTGCAGTTACATCCAATACTTCTGGAAGACTACGATTCTGTTCTAAGAAACCAGTAACGTCACCTAAAAACAGTGACTGTAGTATTGAAAGATAGTCTCTCTAAATGCCTTTAATCTCAGCACTCGGAAGGCAAGAGGTTATGTGGCTCTCATGGTTGGAGGCCAGCCCGGTCCAGGACAGTCAGGGCTACACAAAGAGAAAATTTCCGTTATCTTATCAATTTTGTTATAATATAAAATAACTAGAAAAAAAAACATTGGGCAGACGCATTCCAAGGTGGTTGAGTGGGGCAAGCTCTAAGAATTATGCTTGCTTTTTCATCCCATGCTCCACCAACTTATGCAAGAACTGCTCTTGAGTCCCGAAGTCAGGCCAAAGCTGTATACAATGTAGGCTATAAACTCACTTTTCTAGTCACATGTCTAAAATAAAATTAACAGCACACCCAATATGTGACAAGTTACTTCGTTTGTAAGACAGCTCAGACCTTGATCTTTTATCATAACCATATTTTGAATTCCTGCTCTTTTACACTTACAACACATAAGTTTGGTTAAGTTATAATTCTAGTGTATTCTGAATCACATGGCTAACGGCTATACAAAACAAAGGAGCTGAGAGGAAAGTGAGTCCAACAAACCATTCTCATAGCACTGAACATTATGAGTTAACGGGTCCTCTGATAATTGCTACTGGAAAGTTTGCCAGAAGTTCTACAATATTTGTCATCAAATCAAACGCTTCTCTCCGGTTTGTCACTGAGCTGACCCTCTGGGGTCCAGCCCGTCTGGGTCACTCGAGAATCCTACTTCGCCGCCCGGACAGGGCTCCGGGCTAGTGAGTCGCTATCGGACTTACCTGGCTGTGCACACCGTCGGCTCCCTGCTGGCTGTCCGCGCTCTCAACCCTGTCGCCGCCGCCCGCGGCCCGGCTAACCCGGGGTTCCTCCTGCTCGCCAGGAGGTGGCTCTCCGGGCTCCAGGCTACAGCTCTGCAGCTCCTGTCTGTCGTCCCCACCGCCGCGTCGCTTGCGGGGCGCAGACGCAGGCTCCGCCATGGTCCCCGCGTCCCCCTGGCGCTTGAGGGGCCGAGCCACCCCAGACGACGGGACCCAGAGCGGCGGTTCCTCGGGGAAGTCGCTGAGCAGGAGCCGCTTCCAAGGCACGCGGAACGTGAGCGGCTCAGCTGCACGCCGCTTGGCCATGGGCCAGGGATGGGGGGGTCGCGCGGGCGGCAGCGGAGGGCTGCACGGAGCTGGGAGCTGGGCTGTCCCGAGGGCGGACCGGAGGTTGGGGAGCCGCAGCGCAGCGCCGGAGTTTCGAACCTGCGCCGTGATGCGCGCGCACCTACGCCCATCCAGCGCTGCCGCTGGTTGGTGGAGGCTCGCTGCTCGCGTTCCCGAGCGCCCTTGCGGCCGGAAGTGCGCGCTCTGAGGGGGCGGGGCATGGGATGTGGCTTGTAGGAGGCTGCTACACCCTAGCGGCTTTATTTTTACTTGCACGGTTGCTCGGATTTGTATGTGTGCTTCTCTGTCCCTAAGCGGAACAGGCGAGGACACGGGCAGAAGACCCCGCGGTCTCCGAAGTCCAGGCGGGAAGTGGACTGGGCCCTTTCCTCTGTGCTGCGAACCTCGTGCGGCGATGGTGTTTGCTTAGTCCTCAACGGCCTGTAGTTTCCAAGACCTTCTTTCCACTGGGTGGTGTCTGGCAAAGAGAAATGCAAACTGCTATGGGTTTGCTTCAGCCCGTACTTTTAAGTCTTTTGGTAAAAGCAAAAAGTAACTTAAGGATAGCGGTTGCCTACCATGCCCAAGGCTGTAGGTTCTATCCCCAGTGCTGTGAGGAAAAGGAGAAAAAGCAGTAACTAAACAAAACTAAGAAAGAAAATAAGGCCACCAGCACTCCGAAGAAACAATCTTTCTAGGGCATGGAAGTTCTGTTTTAGCTGATAGCTGTTAGTAATCTAACTAAACTCCACCTCCACAGTCACTTGGCAACACCCAGGTATGCTCCGCCCCACAGTTACCTGGCAATAGCCAGGTAGGCCTGCCCACTATAAAAGGGGCTGCTTGGCCCCCTCCTCTCTCTCTTGACCCCTCGACATCCCCTCCCCTCTCTCTCCACGTGGTCATGGCCGGCCTCCACTTCTCTCTCTCCTCTCTCCTCTCTCCTCTCTCCTCTCTCCTCTCTCCTCCTCCTCTCCTCTCCACCTACTCTCCTGTGATCTGTCCAAGCTGCGCGCGTGAAATCCTTTTCATAGGTACTGAGAATCTTCAAAACAAACAAACAAAAAAAGACTTATGTGTATGAGTGTACTTATGAGTATGCACCATACGCATGCTTAAACATCTGTGTCTAGATGTGTACTCCAGTAGGTTATGGGAGGACTGAGCAAGTATCAGTGTGCAAAGACAGCGTTATCGGACGTGTACCATAGCTTTTCTGTTCTCTCCATTTCCTGTTTGCAGTTGGTAATTCCTCCACCTGGAACAAATGAAAAATTCACCATTGCCACTTTCAAACTAGTCACACACATCAGACATGAAAGAATTTAGTCCTACAGATGATTTATTGTGCGGAAACATTGTTCCAAAACGATAGAATACAGCATGGGCAGATTCATTCCTTCTGTTCTCTCAGAATCTTGCCGCCCCCATCCCCAATTCCTTATGAAACTTAGCATATGTACACAAGGTAGTATAAAGCATATGCTTTGGGCTGGAGAGATGGCTCAATGGTTAAGAGCACTAGCTGCTCTTTAGAGGTCCTGAGTTCAATTCGCCGTAACCACATGGTGGCTCACAAACATCTGAAATGGGATCTGATGCCCTCTTCTGGCACACAGGTATATATGCAGATAGAGCACTCATACATTAAATAAATCTTAAAAAAAAAAAAAATGACCGTAATAACATGCAAGTGTCACTGCCCAGTTTCAGTTTCAGAAGGGAAGATCTGTGTGCCACCTCATTGTCACCTGTTTCTCTTTCCTGTGCCAAATTGGCTTGTTTTGGACTTTGAGTTATTTATAACTTCTTTGTAATTTCTCCCTCTATCCACTCACCTATTTGTATTTCTTATTTTTTTTCCAAAGGGGAGGGAAGTTATTCAGGGCAGAGGGCAAAGGTGGGGAGAGAAACAGGAGAAGATGTAGAGAAAGATGAGAGAAAGGAGAGAAGTGGAGGCTGGCCATGACCACGTGGAGAGAGGGGTAAGGGAAGGAGGGAAGGGTGAGGGGACAGAGAGAAGCTAGAGGCAAGAGAGTAAAAGAGTAACAGGTCTTTTAAAATATTTTTTTCTTTCTTTTTGCTATTTGTATTTCTAAGACGCTTTTGGTTTTGATAATATTTTAAGATATACTAAGGTCTAACTGGCATACAATAAGCTGCTGATATTTCAAACGTGGAATTTTGCCACGCAGATATGCCTGTGAAAACACATGATAGTGCATCACCTTAAAAAGCTTTATCTTAGCGGTGGTGTTACACACCTTTAGTCTTAGCACTCGGGAGGCAGAGGCAGTTTGAATTCGAGGCCAGTCTGGTCTACAGATCTAGTTCCAGGACAGTCAGGGCTACACAGAGAGACCCTGCCTCTAAAAACAAAATCTATAAATGCTAAAAGCATTGTTCAAAAATGTGTTTTATTGTATTACGAAGTTTTTCTCAATTTAATCCTTTTTATAGCACGAGAGGTTATCATTATTACTATCATTATTTTACATCCTCATCAGCAAACAATATGGCCAATGTGAAATGGTATCTCATTGTGGCTTCAATTTGCACCTCACCCAATGAAGCTGGACATGTTTTTTGTATTTATAGATTTTTGGTTTTGGTACAGGAATCTTTGTTATAGTTACTGGTGTTCTTTGCTAAACAAATTCTACACTTACTATATGGGTCAATTGATCAGTCCTATTTTTCTTTGGGTTTGGTCTGATGTAAGAGATTGATCCTTACACTACAATCTGTGCCTCAAAACCTGCCGTTTGAACTCTAATGCCTGTGTGGCCCAGAGTGGATGGCTAGATGTCAGCTAAAGATATGTTGTATCTTTAGCCCTCTTTAAAAACTAGACCACATGTCTTTTTTCTCTGGCTTGTGAGGACCTTTTTATTTAGTACCCTAAAAAGCATTTTCTATGGTAATTGTTGGTATCAGACTTCTACTAATCTGTGTCTTTTATTTTCATTGTATGGTGAATTATTCTATTTTGTTTTTGAGACAATGTCTTAGTATGTATCCCTGGCTTGCCTGGAGCTCTCTAGACCAGGCTCTCACATAGATCCACCTGCCTCTGCCTCCTAAGAACTGGGATTAAAGGTGTGAAATACCAGAGCCAGTCTTAACTTTCTTTCTTTTATGTATATGAGTACACTGTAGCTGTCTTCAGACACAGAACTGGGCATGGGATCCCATTACAGATGGTTGTGAGCCACCATGTGACTCCTGGGAATTGAACTCAGGACCTCTGGAAGAGCAGTCTGTGCTTTAAACCACTATGCCATCTCTCCAGGCCTCAACTTTTATTTTTACGTGGCATTCATTACATTTATTATATTTGCACATGTACATCTTAAGAAGTTTTGACAGCTGTAGTGCAATCCTTGACTTTTTTCAGTATTGTCTGCACTAGCCTTGGCCTCTGGCTCTTCCATGTGCAACCATTTGTAGCATTTTCCTTGGGTCTTTTGAATTACAGTGGAATTACAGATGGGTTTGGGGAGAATTTTCATCTTTACAGTATCAAGTCCACTCCTTATTCAACAGCTCTAGTTAGATTTTTAAATGTCCTTCGTTAGAATCTTAGTTTTCATGATAGCTTCTACCTTTTGACCAGGTTTAACTTGTATCTTTGCATATCTTTTTGCCCACGTCTTTACAAGATCTTGAAAGTAGCACTTGTAGTCACTTTGTCCTCAGTGGACCAATCTACTTAGACAAGGAAATGTGTCCACCTCACCTAGTGTGCTTTATTCATTGTTCTCTATTTTGCATTTTGCTGATTTCTGTTCAATTTTTCTTCTCTAGTTTGTTCTCATGGAGCCTAAAATTGACTGTAGCCTTTCTAATTGTTAGCCCAAGGTCACCTCAATTCACTGTATTGCTAAAACAGGTGCTAGGATTGTGGGCACACAGCAGGACCAGCTGTCTTCTTTTCCAATACTGACATGCAAGCTGCAATTCTCCCAGTGTTCTTGCCTTAGCTACAGTCTGCAATTTCTGGTATGTTGCTTTTATTGCTCTTGAGGTTTGAAATACATTTGAATTTTTTCACTTGTATTAAATAACCTGAATATTTTACATTTCATCTTAATTTAACGCCTTGGCACTTTAGCTGTACTTCTTTGTATTAATATTTGATAGTTCCTCTAAAGATAATGTGCATTTTCAACTGCTTTTCAGAGTGTTTAAACTTTGTATTGCTTATGTAAACCATAACCTCCTTGCTACTACAATCATACTGACCAAATAGTGTCTTCTACCAATTCTGACTGTCCCATAGTTTGGTATAAAATGCATGCTGCCGATCCTAATAACCTGAGTTCAGGCCCTGTATAATAGGTAGGAGAAAACCAACTGAGAAGTAATCCTCTGACATTCACCTTCATGCTGTGGCTGGTGAAGCTACACACATACAATAAACAGATGGAACAAAAATAAGATGCAGCAGATTCCTGTTGTCCACATTTCTGTCAGTAATGATAGAAGTTGGTTTTTAATAAACTCTCCTGTTTTCTTGGTAAAGAAGTAATCCATGCTATCTCCCTTTCCCACCCTCCCGTGATAGTGTGCCAAGGTCAGGTGCATTAATAGATAGGTCTTCACCACTCAGGGAACCCTGGAAGACTTCTTGTAGATGGGTGAATGCAGCAGGGATAGAGTCTAAAAAAGTCTCTCAGTGGTGGATATGTTAAAGGTTTGATCCCCAGTGATCGTTTAGTGGTGAAGGCTGACTTTATGCATGGATTATTCCTTTGATGGCTCCATACTTGATGGACTGACTATTGGTAGGTGAAATCTATGAGGTTAACCTAACTCTAGATGCTCCTGGGACTATTTCTGTTCCTGGTCCTTCTCACCTCCAGCTCCCTCTGCTTCCCAGTTGCCATGAAGTCACCAGCTTCACCTCACTCCATGTTCTTTACCCCTCCACCACCACCCCAGGCAAGTGAGCAAGGAGTGAAGCTGTGAGACAAAATAATAAACCCATTATCCTTTTACTTTAAAGGTATGTTGTCACAGAAATAGAAAATTGACAATACAGAAAGGACAAGGGGCGGAGAAAATACCAAGTCAG